CTGTGAAAAGAACTATTGCGCCTATAGGTCTGTAGAAGGACCATGGAGCATTCAGGAAATAGTCGAACCGGAACGGCGGTAGCAACCTGGACGCCATTAGAAAGAAGTCCGCAATCCTAATAGATGTATTGAATAGCTTAAGAGTTGCAGATAAACGGAGAGCTGGTTCAAAAAGAGTCGGAAAAAGCTGAATATATTATATACAGCTATTGTATGAAAAAACAGAGGAACTGACGGATGCAAACGAAACAAGAGTACATAGATGTCGCGGTCTACTGGAGTGTGTCGCAAACAATCGCATTTGGTTTTCATATTTTCAGACAAAGCAATTCTCACCGTTGAGGAGGGGCACAACCGCCAAAACGATAAGGTGATATCACCGAGTTCATAAAAGTCGGATCACAGCAAAAAATGATAAAGAGAAAGGCGCATCCGGCATCTGCGCTTGTTTGCGCGTTCGTCACGAGCCAGATCGCCTCGATTTTCGAGGACTCCGGAGCGAAAATCAGCCAAAAGCGGTATCTAAACGATGTGCTTGTGCGCCATATTGTTATCTTCAGGACGCACTTTGATAAACGATCGTTTGTTTTCCAACAAGGTTCAGCTTCAGACTACAGGGCAGAGTCCGTCCAAGAGTAGTGTGAGCGTTTTTAACCATAATCTTCCTTTAATTTAGAGTTAGTATCTGCTCCCTTCTCGACATTTTAACACAAGTATAATTCATAATTTCTGCCTTTAAGGTCACTACTGTGTTCACTTCAAACCGCTTGCCTTTTTTACCGGAGTCGCAAGTCCCAGCATCATAAACTACGCGATCAAAGCGGAAAACTAGAGAAGTTTTATCAACTGCTGCGATGATTAATTTGAGAGAAAAATTACTTCTTCTAGAAACTTACATCTTTTATCTTGAGAAGTGAGCGTGATTTGCCTTCGTAAGGGGCACAGTTTACGCGATTTCGTCGCCGCGATTTCCCCTACAAGGCAAACAGTTGCGAGCCGACTGCATGTCGATCATCTTGTATTTCGGTTGTGATAGTCACGATTGGGTGTCAAGTGTTGTGTTGCTGAAAAATGGCGGCGATGAAGCGTGAACTCTGCCCGAGGCCTTAGATCAGTAGACACGCGTTCGGCTGTAGCGAGTGCAAGGAATAAAACGAAGCAACTGTTACTTACAAAGACAGTAGCACTCGTGGGTAAACTTTCCACATAAACGATAACCATAAAATCGTTACGATGGCGCGACCGCGCGCGTCGACGCAATTCCAACAATCGCATTTTCTTGGTTTCCATCTCAACTCGAATGGTTTTTTGCATACATATGATAGTATTTGAACACTGGAAGTGACTAAGCTGAGAGTTAAGGTAATGCCTTTCTGCATAAGTGTTTTATGTACAGCGGTGGGCGTTGAGACCGCAATAAAATCCGTCGTCACGATTTCACGAATGCCGTACATGTCCATGATGTCTGTCATGTATCGTCGAGTCATTCGTAAATTAATGTGTGTACTGCAAACTACTCGCTACATCAAAAGCTCTATACTACTTATAAATCACCATTTTATTTGTACTTCTCACTCTTTTTCTGAGATTTTGTGCAATAGTAAATTCAAACAACATAACATCTCTTGTCGGGTCGCTGCATCAAAGGGTCTGCACTAGCATATTAAGATTGTACAGTCAATGTCACTCACGTACTCCCTTTCGCATGTGAACTACGCATGCGCAACGCAAGGGTCCTGCGCGCGGACCTACAATCGATGAGGCCAATTTGAATGCCAGAGCCATACGCGCGCGAGAGTGACGCGAAGCTCATTGCGCCACATAAAAGGGAGAGCACGTGATTGACATTGACTGTAAAGACGATTGCGCGCGTTGTCTGCAAGCTCTCATAAGCTGGGTTCATACTGATCCGTAAGTTCCGGAACACTTCCAGCACAGCGCAGTGTTCAAGCGGCGCCCGGAACTGTTCCGGAACTTACAGATCAATATGAACCCAATCTATGTTACGAAAGACTCAATGGTATGTCTTGTGAGATGAATATTAGACTAGTCTCCAAGAGTATTCAGAATGGACATCTTGATTCATTCTTTATATCTGTTGAAATCAAAAAACTATTTAAATGCAAAGGTGTTTAGTCTATGAACGGCTCACTGACATAGAGCAGGCAACATGGCTAAAGTCTTGACTATCTAACACCACATGAATTTCTCTGAAAAATGTGTAAACAAACAAAGAAAGGTATTTTATCAGAATCCATATTCGACTATCCATTAGTCTTGACATAATTTGAATCTTCTGGTTGGTTTCTTTAGCAGCGTCCAAGATTGGTACAGATACTTATTCCACAATATACAGACTGGTTTCGGCAACCTCGCCTTTTTCAGAGTCTGAAAAGTCGAAAACACATAAGTGTAACTATCCAATCAAACACCTTGTCGACTACAGAAAAGAGCCCATCCCTTAAAAAAGCAACATCAACCAAAACGCAAGATTAAGCCAGTGCTCACCTTAACAGATAATAGATTTTGGTGGGTGCAGACCACTTATGTCAGAAACTGTAAGCACTTTCAACACTTTTAGTCACTTTCGCGGCTCAAACACGACTTGCACACAAGATAATCATTCATGTAACTCGAAAGTCTGCACCAATTTTCATGCACCAGTCACCGTAGACCAGCGTTGCCAATTCTGCTTTGCAAGACTCCCACTATGTCATAGAAAAGGGTGAAGTAAGTGGCGTTAAACCGTTTTCTTATATCCTTCTTGATTGACTGCCTATAAATTCTGAAGCTTCCTTGCTGCTGGCCACCACTCGATGCCAGATAGTGAATTGTTTGCTACTTTTGGTGGCAGGGAGAGATTACATATTATGATCGTATAGCGTTATTTTGTGATGTGAATATCTTGATTGATAGCTGCCTTGAATTTTATGCGTAACGTCTGTCGGTTATTTCAAAATCACTTTTATTAGATAGCACAAATCTATGTCCGGAATCTCGGAACGATTCTTAAAAGAATTTTTAAGTCTTTGCCCTCAAAAAGGGGGGGGGGGGGGTTGAGAGAAAAGTAAGTTGAGTATGGAATTCAAAATACATCCAAATACATTATTTTTCGATTTTGTGATTTGGACCAGTGTGATTAGACAAACTGTATGTTGCGACCAATCAGCGAATGTATCTTTGAGTCATTTGTAACTTATTATGTGAGTCTCCGGACTATGCGCGGCAACATCTAATTTATCAATAAGTTCTTAGTATAACCTTCCCTGGCGTAAGAATCTGCAGAAAATTGCACTACCATATAGAAAATTGCACTACCACTACCCATAGAATCAAAATGGAAAAGAAAATAAGGAAAAATTAGTGAAAACGAGCAGGTTCTAATGAAGTTCATCAAGTTGCGTGCACGATGTGCGATACGTATATTGAGTTACAAATGATTCGTTAACGATATTAGCATGAATGTATCGAACAAAAACTAATCTGAACCTCCGCCAGGATTGAATCTGGGATGTCTTGCTTAGCAGACTAAGCGCCCCAAGCACATATTTTGTGCTTCTTCATTCGCATGTCCAAAGCAACCTTCCTTGGCCATTTTTGTAAAGAAAGGTCAAGCATGCATTTGAGATTAGTGTTCCAAAGCGTGTTTCCATATACATCTCATGTTAAAAGGCAGGGGTCACAAAAATATATTACTTTCCTCTTTAGATCTAACACTGCAGCCCTTGCCTGAACACTCCCATAAGCATGAGTGACTGTGACTATCGACACCCCTTCGTGTTACTCTTGGCTACCATTGTGTTTCTGCTATTAGTTTCAGCTTCGTGAGCAGGTGGTATAAAGCTTTGACACGACTGATTTACGACGTGATTGCCTAGGTTCGTGCCGTTTGTGATGCAACCCAAGTGCATCATTAGATAAACAGATAATTTCAAATTTTTTAGTGCATGCAGTGCACGGTAAGTCAGAGCATCTGCTCTTGTTTAATTCGCGAAGAACAATTGATATCAAATAGCAGCTGTGAAGAACTCATTCACATGAGAGAAGATCGCTGAGCAAGGACAAATAAAGCCAACCTCCAATTTTTTCTAGATATCAGGGCCTCATCACTCTATTTCAGTATTCTACAAAACTCGTTATTAGTCCGAGCAACAAACCACTTGTTTGCGGATGTAACTACTAAAACTAATCACTGTAAAATGACGCATTACATATGTGGGAATCTCACTGCCTTACGTATACAACAACACTAGGATTCGTCCTCTCGAGTGTCTTGGTAAGAGTTGAGGTTACATTCGCGCGAGAAATCTGCTCAGAAGGGCCATTCTGTGGTTTGTTCTTCGACATACATAACAGGTCCTAGACAATGCAATGAAATTGGCAATCTCCATCTAAAAACGTCCAGGAAGTGGCTGGGGCAAAAAACTCTATATGAGACATGAATTGTTCGCTCATAATATATAGGATGAGAAGGAAGTCTTCCAGTATACTGTATTGCTGCTATGGAGCAGCATGGTAGGCCCATAGAATACGAATAATAAGCGAACTTATTCTTTGCTTCAAAGTTTGCAGTACAGAATGGTGAACCATTGCATATACTGTTTATCTGCGTCATCCGAAAAATTTCACCACGTCACACCACCTTCCCTTCCACCTCCCACCAAGAAAAAAGATTTTGGAATTTCGCAAAACACCAGCAATTCACTTTTTCGGAGTTTTTTTTATTGACCGCTGATTACCTGGCATTTGTTTTTACATATCTCCTTGCTGATTCATGGAGAATTAGTCAAGTCCAAACTTCTTGGTAATTCGTCATTTTTTGAACTTCCTTATTGCGTAGCACTTTGTAAATTTTCTGTTCAATTGCAAGGAGTAGGATTGTCGTTCCCACGCGCTAACTACCAAAATAAATGTTTTAGGAGTGATGAGACAGTCTCTTGGCCGAATAATAGTGAACTTTTTTGTGTGCATTTCTGCATTGCTGTATTCTACCGGTATGACTGATAATACCGGTCACCGGCCTTATAGGCCGTTTGCCGACGCCTAGTACTGCGCTTGGGCTGTGATGAGATTGTTATGGCTGAGCTCTATTCTATCACTACTAGTCTTGCGTAAGTTTTTTTGAAACTAATATCATCACATTTATATAGAGTATATCTTACAAACATTTTCCAGAGGCACTACTTCTATGTGAAGCTAGAAGGCCCGATGACAAAAGACTTAGTAGATACCCTGGAAGAGGAGATTACGGCAGAGGAAGAGGTCCGACCAGAGGAGGCCCAAGTGGAAGAGGTTCCAGGAGAGGCCCCCCTCATAGAGGTCATGCCTTATCCTTTCCCCATAGAAGAGGTCCAGGAAGAGGGCCAATGGGAAGAGGTCGCGGCTCAGCATTTCCAGGTCAGAGAAGAGGTCCTGGAAGAAGTCCGATGCCGAGACGTGGTCCAAACTTCGGGCATGGAAGAGGTCCTGGCAGAAACTTCCCCGGAAGAGGGGGTGGGGGACCTGGACGAGGAAGATTCAGAGGTCCCGGAGATCGTAGAGGCGGAATGTCTGGAAGGGGTCCTGGGAGAATGTTCCCTGGAGGAAGAAATAGAGGCCCACTTGATAGAAGAGGCTTGCCGGGGGCGGGTCCCGGACGAGGGTTAATGGGAAATCCTAGACAGGGACCCTTTGGAAGAGGTCATAACAGAGGCCCTGGAAGAGGTCCAATGGCAGGAGCTCGTGGTCCCTTCGGAAGAGGACCAAGGCCTGATCGAGATTTCCCCTTAGGACACCACAGAGGAGGCTTCCCCGGAAAAGGCCCAAGAGGTCCCGGCGCAGACATGAGAAGAGGTGGTCGAGGAAGAGGTCCTGAGGGAGTTCCCGGAAGATGGCCTGGAGGCCCCGATAGACGGTTTCCTGGAGCACATGGAAGAGGTCTGATGGAACGAGGCCATGGAAGGGGCCCGATGGGAAGAGACATGTTAGGAGGTCGCGGACGGTTCCATGGAAGAGGCCCGATGGGAAGGGAGATGCTAGGCGGAGGCCCTGGACGGTTCCATGGAAGAGGCCCGATGGGAAAAGACATGCTGGAAGGGAGATTTGGACACCATGGAAGAGGTCCAATGGGAAGATTTCCTGGACGATTCCATGGAAGATTCCCACCTGGGAATGGTACCTTAGGAGAAGGCACTGAAGGATTTGGTAGAAGAGGCATGTTTGGAAGAGGCATGTTTGGAAGAGGCATGTTTGGAAGAGGCATGCATGGAAGAGGTCGTTTTTATGGTCGAAGAAGACCGGGTGAAGAAGGTTTTGGAGAAGGCCTGGGAAGCGAAAACGAGCTCGATTCTAGGCACGGTTGGGAGCGTGGAAACGGTACAATGAGGTAAGTGTAATTTTGTTCGAAACATGCATTAATTACTTTTTGGCACTCTCATATGCAGTCTTTTCTACAACTGATATGTTTTTCTTTTTCGCCAAGTTCAACCAGTATGGTTTCAGTTTCATAGCACTTCGTTACATATCCCTTCAAACAATTTGGAAACCCTTTAGTATTATTGATTGCCTGTAAGAAGTATTTCCGGTTTTTCGATGCTCATTGTTTCGTTGCTGAGCAGCCGAAAGCAATAGAGTTTTTTGATTTCTAAAGCCGGTGAAAAGGCTGAAAAGGCCCTTTCGCTAACAGCCGATGTGACGACATTATAAACGTTTTATTCTTCAACGCAATCGTCTCATATGAAAATCGATTGGAACCAAAAATAGAATACGTAGTGAAAAAGAATCTGGCTTTAGTTTTTTCTTGTGATGACTTTCAGTGACGCAGGCAGCGCACAAGCAACCGGTTACTGCTCAATTGCAATAATGATAGCACTGAAATATCGAAGACTTTTGCTAATTTCTGTCTAAGACTTTTTTGTTTGTGTGAGATAGCTTTCACTCTTCCGTGCCACATTATAATACTTAACATCAACACTCCTGCGCAACTCTAGAATAAATAGAATTTATGGCCCTTTTTGTTCAGCAGAATCATAAACGAGAAAAATTTATTGCAGGTCCCTGTAAGGTTACTGTAGCTTGCTATGATGTAACAAGGCATCCTCTGTTTGCGTGTCGAAACTTACATCTTGCGCCATATACATGCAAAGCAATCTAAATTTCAATCTATGAACAAACAGGTGACTTCTGATAAGTAGAGCAATGTAGGGGTCGCATGGGTCGTTTTCGAGGAGGATGGAGAAGAGGAGGACGTCTAAGAGGAGGAACTGGAGAAGAAGCAGAAGGTGGAGATGCGGAAGCGGAAGGAGCAGAAGATGAGACTGGTGAAGCAGAAGAATCTACTGGCGGTGGAGTAGCCACTAGAGGAAGATTAACCTCTAGCCGTGGTGGCGGCGGCGGTCGTGGTGGTGGTGGTGGTAGCATTGCGAGTAGCGATGATGATGCTGATAGCGGAGCAGGTTGGATGCAGATAATAACATTGGTAAAATATCATAGATTTGAACATTTTGTGCATTACAGATTCAGGCGACGCAGGTGATGATGATGCCGGCGCAGGTGCATCCAGTATAGGAGGTTTGTTATCTGCAATAATTTTTACTAAGGATTTTTAAACTAAGATTTTTGGAAGTTTTTAGAGTCGATTGGCACTTTGATTTCAAGTATTGGAGAGGCGATCCAAAACGTGGCACCACAGCAGAACATGGATATGGGTTCATCGGATGCGGGCTCTGATTCCGGTTCTGATTCCGGATCTGATTCCGGTTCTGATTCGGGTTCCGCGGATGCGGGTGGCGCTGATACAGGTGGCTCGGATACGGGCTCCTCGCAGGATACGTCTTCCGCACAGGTCTCAAAAAGTGCTCATATTGCACAAAGTACACAAGACACACAGAGCGATACACAAGATACACAGACTGAAACAGTAGATACACAGAATACACAGATTGCACAGAATACGCAAGTTGCACAGAGTACACAGGATACGCAGAGTGATAGTGGTAATCAGGATACACAAACTGAAACTGACACACAGGACACACAGAGTGTGAGCGATACACAAGAAACACAGGATACACAGAATGATATACAAAGTGATACACAAGAAACACAGGAATCACAGAATTCGCGTAATTCAACGGAGAAGGGTGCGAATTTACAGGATTCACAAAGCGCTCAGGATACGTCGGATTCGCAGGGTTCGGAGGACGCGGAAGGTTCGGGAGAAGGAGATTCGGGTGGACAGGGTACACTTACGCAGTCACAAACCTGCAGTGAGTTAATGCCTATTGTTGAGCCTACAGTAACCCATAATACATTTTGCAGCCACGACATTCTCGTACTATGCTGCAAACCGTATTCCAGTCTACAAATGCGATTGTCCTGGACATGGTACCTCGTATCAGTACCATAGATGTGTGATGCCAAGATGATTTACTCCACGGCAGCTAACCTATGTCTGTACAAAGATCAACCTCATCTTCCATTTGCCAAGATGAAGCGTAGTGATTCGCAGTCTATCGCGATTTTCCTTCAGTTAGGGACATTTTGTACATTTTGATGTAGTCAACTAGGCTTATGCTTTAGAAGGCATTGGATTTCACACTAATGCATCAGCATGCACTCCCTAGGGTGCAGCATGAAACGGGAACAAAGATAAATAATTTAGCTTCTATTGTTCCTTCTCAGCCATAGATATAGGCCGTCCGCGCTGCGCACGGAGAGCAGCGTTGCGTACATTGAAGGCAGTTCACGACTAAAAGAAGCGCAGAGAAAAACAGGCGGCGAGAGTGCACGAGGAAAGAGGAGTGACGCGCAATACACAGCTTGCGCACTCTCCGCGCCGTGCGCGGACGGCCTATAACAGAGTTCGCCTCACCGCCTTCACAAAGCCTTGTCAGCAACTGATTGATTGGAGCACCAAGAAACACCGGTATTACACTTCTACAAGAAATATTACACGTAATATTCAATCGTGACACATAAACATAATTTTTGGAAAAAAACCCTGTGAGTCAAAGGGCATTTCCTTTACTGCTCGATTTGTCATCTTTTTGTAGTCGCAACCACCTAACAATCGCCAAGCATCAGTGATCACTAAGAAAAAGACTTTCGTCTTACAGTCACGTCCTTGTACATTAAAGATCGTTTCGAAGTGTTACGCCTGGTAATTAGCACTCAAAGTCCGGCGACAATGATGTCTAATAACTGCTGGCACGACGGCGATCATGCGGCTAATTTTCTGAACACAAGGGAAGTTCTGATTTACAATTACGTTCGATCGGACAATTTCAAGGGTTCTTTATTATTATGTGATCGACCTTTGTGTTGATTAATTTGATAAATTTGGTTTTCTGCCGAAAACATTTTCTCGTGCTCAAAGGCAGTGTCCGGGCAAAAACTCGATTTCTAGAAAATCCACTCACCGGGGGTTAACCGCAACGCTGAATCCGAAAATCCAAATTAGAAAGTGTGAAAACGGCGAGAACGTACGTTTTTCAAAGCCGCCCAATTTGAAATTTGACGGTCCCCACCAAGGCAGAGACGCAGGGTCCCTGCGGGACCCTACATTTCACCTACAACGGCATGCGTACTCTGCCGCATAGCGGGAATTCGGACACCTTGGAGGACCCCGCCCCAAGGCGTAAGTTCCCCCACTTTCCGGTCATTTTCCTTGCTTTAGGTCGAGAGTTATGACGTCGCACTTGCGCGATGTTGTGTCTGAGGGAGGACACTCTCGCATGGCACTGAAGTCCCAAAACCCCCATCTTGCCCGGACACTGCCTTTAAATGGCGATGTGCCTGCTATAGCCATTTCTTGAGCGCAAGTCGCAAGCATTCTGTTGGCATTCACAACTATGGAATTTTTTCCTGGAAATGCTGTCGTCACCACAGGGGCACTGTATCGACCATCACCGTTTATCATGTTATCACATAAGTTCCATACATTCTTGATTTCATCCAAAAAACTCCCATTTTTCTTGACTCTCGAAAAAGCTTTGGGGTACTTTCCGATAGAGCGAAGCAAGCTCTATAAAATAACCTTCATATTTTTGCACAGAGTTCGTTTCAATTTGAAAAATCGAATCCAAAAAGAAAGTCCAGAAACTGGAAATATCAAAACTCTGCTCAAAAATTTCTAAAAAGCTCTAAAACGAAAAACATTTGTTTAAAAAAAGGCTAGAAAAGAGCATCAGTTCTACACCTGCAATTCTCTTTGTATAGTAGATTCCCATGCGTATAGCGGGCGTGACCCTACAGACATTTGAACACGATAAAAAACTTTTGTTGGACCTCTATCTTAGCATTGGTTTTTGTACTCTCTGACTATCAAAAAGTGCCAGGCGCATGCATTGGCAAACGTGGCAATGCTTCGCCCGCTATACTGTGGAGAATAGACGATACAAATGCACAAATACAAAATGTACAGTGACGCACCCGGAATTTCGTTTGGTAGGGGGACAACAACCTTTTTAGAGTAAAAGTGCAAAAATTTTGTTGGGTTGCTTCCCGAAAATTTCGAGAGCCCAGTTTTGAAGCTATAGCGAGAGTGCCGAGTGTCGAAAGATTTTTGAAATTTCCAAAATTTGTTTCAGTTATTGAATGATATAAACAAAACACTTGCACTTTTTTATAATTATATAGGTAGAATATGAGCAGGGTTAGTCTAGTGGTTAGTGCTCAACGTAACATTGCCGTGCTGAAGGTCACGAGTTCGATTCCACACCGAGCCTAATTTCTGCGGCAAAAACTCTGCTCGCAATTCCAACTTTGCCCTTCCAAAGAAAGGCATGCGGCAAATTGGCTGAGAAATACCCCGTCGCATCGTAAATGCAGACATGTCGAGGGTTACCGTCTCAGCAAGGTGGCTAGGGAAAGTCGGGCAAGTCGCGGTAGGACCACACGTTTTGACTGTAAGCGGTAACGCACTCTAGCTCATCGATTCAACTGGATTGGCGGCTGGAAGGCAGGGCTTGACCCAATTAAGGCCACTCGCGTCCTCGGTGCAGTCGGCCGAAGCCCGCTTTCCATCCTCCAATCCAAATGAATCAAAAGGTAGACCAGAGAGTTTTGCCTCCGATAAACTACGGCAAAACCTCTGTTTTGCACTTTCGCAACACTAGGCGCGGGTGAAGGTTCATTCGTCAGCTGTACACAATAAAAGGGACTTATCCCGACACGTAGTTCTGATACATACGACCCTGCGTAACCAACAAAGCCTATCTATGCCTAGTAACAACCCGAACAAACGTCATGATAATGCCTCAACCTATGGAAACAACTCGAACAATCATTTGCCTTCAGTGAATCACAGGGATATTCGATGGGACAAGAGAGGTAATCGCTAACAGATCAATGCGTTCTAGTGACATATATGCTTGGTAATCCACAAGTTACGCATGAACTGTATCAAAAGCTTCATCTACGAGTGCCAATGCCAAAGCCGCCAACTGCAGCCCATCTCGCTGTTGCACCAACTTCTCGAAAACGGGTTCTCGTGGGGTCCTGTGTCTCGTCTGTCCTCGCATTGCCACGCGGTGCCATCCCATAGTAGAATCACTACGTATAAAAGCATGAATTCGTGCACTTTCCCTAAACGATAGCAGATGGTAGACGAGGAGAAGCCAGATGAGATGCGAACACGCCCCTTGCGTATTCAATATGAGACATGTTTTCACTTGTACCGAACCGTCTCGAATTTTTTTTTCGCGCATAGCTTTCGCTTAAAGGCAGTGTCCGGGCAAAAACTCGATTTTGAGATTTTGCGCTTACCCGCGCCTATTCGCTATGCTGAATCCGAAAATCCACATTGGAGAGCGCGAAAACGACGAAAAAGGGCTCTAACACTGGAGGGAAATCAGCAAGTGGGCGGGGTCTTCCCCATTTTGAATTTACGCTTCCAGCTTCCAGAGCAATTTTCTCGAATCCGTTAGCCGCCCTGACCTCACTACCGATCAAGTGCAAACGAATGACTTGAAACCGGAATCAAAAAGATCGTCCCCGAAGCTGGGAGCGTGAATTCACCGTGGGGAAGACCCCGCCCACTTGCTGACTTCCCTCCAATATTAGAGCCCTTTTTCGTCGTTTTCGCGCTCTCCAAAGTGGATTTTCGGATTCAGCATAGCGAATAGGCCCGGGTAAGCACAAAATCTCGAAATCGAGTTTTTGCCCGGACACTGCCTTTAAGGACAAATTCCATAGATCAGACTGTAAACATACCATCACGTGTGGCATATCAACAGTCTAAAGATGATGTTTTCCCACAAGTCACATGATTACACATGCTATCCTTGAGCAACATCCATAAAATAACGAGGCAAATGTTCCCCTGGTCGAGGTTCAATATGCTATGTCGCCATTATCATGAAAAGTCGCCTCGTGCAAGGTTGTTGCCGCATCGTCTTACGTAGGTTTTATCTACTAAAATCTTTTGCTTGCAGGTGGTGAAGATTCTCAACATTTCCAGTTTATGTTTCTGCCTTTGTGCGTTTACGTTTATTTATCGTTTTTTTGTTTCGTTCTTCTCTGCTTACACAAAAACTATATCGCATAGAGTAAGTGGGTCTTATGGTAGAGACAAAACCTGATGCTTTTCGGAGCATGTTTAGGAAATACTGCGAATTTGATGGAAATTTTGCTTTTCCAAGCTTTTGAAAAATCTAAATTTTGTCGTATTCCGAAAAGCGTGAAACTGCGTCCTCTTGTCAGAGGCGACGCCTCAGAAGAAAAAACACTTAGATAACGACAAACCGCAGATAATGTCGGAAATTTTGATCAAAAATGTTATCTGATGGACCTGTAGAAAGATTAATTTGTGTGATTGGGTGTCGCTAGTGGGGACGAGGTTTTATCTCAGGCTAATCTTGCTTTCGCTTCCAGAATTGAAACTGCTCGAGTAATTGGGTATTGCTGGTGGACACGAGTATATGTTTGTGCAAATATTCCCTGTTATATAGAAAGAAAGTGTAAGTAATTGGATTTAGCTGGTGGAGACGAGCGCTTACTAGAAGAAACGCTTGAGTCTGAGTTTCGTTGGTGAGGGCTTTTTTGCTTTGCTTGGAAAACGCTTGGGTAACTGGTCTTGGATAGAGGTAAGCGTTTACTTGGGAAAATCCCGCTTTGGGTATGTTACTGGGTCTGATGGAGATGATGGAGATGGGCTTCCACTTGGGAAAATCACGCTTGAATGACCGGATCTCGTTGGTGGAGGAAAGCGACGCTACGGGTAACGATCTCACTCGTGGAAATGAGCTTCCACTGGGGAAATTCAACGCTTCAGTAAGCGCTTTCGATGGTGGAGGAAAGCGTTTACTCGGCGAAATTCAATGCTTTGAGTAACTGGGTCTCGCTGGTGGAGATGAGCTTCCACTTGGGAAAATCCAACACTTCGATGATTGGGTCTCGTTGGTGGAGGAAAGCGGCGCTTTGGGTAACTGGGTCTCGCTGGTGGAGATGAGCTTCCACTTGGGAAAATCCAACATTGACGATTGGGTCTCGTTGGTGGAGCAAAGCGGCGCTTTGGGTAACTGGGTCTCGCTGGTAGAGAAGATGAGCTTCCACTTGGGAAAATTCAACGCTTCGGATAGGGTCTTGCTGGTGGAGGAAAGCGTTTACTCGGCGAAATTCAATGCTTTGAGTAACTGGGTCTCGCTGGTGGAGATGAGCTTCCACTTGGAAAAATCCAACACTTCGATGATTGGGTCTCGTTGGTGGAGGAAAGCGGCGCTTTGGCTAACTGGGTCTCGCTGGTGGAGATGAGATTCCACTTGGGAAAATCCAACATTGACGATTGGGTCTCGTTGGTGGAGCAAAGCGGCGCTTTGGGTAACTGGGTCTCGCTGGTAGAGATGAGCTTCCACTTGGGAAAATCCAACACTTCGATGATTGGGTCTCGTTGGTGGGGGAAAGCGGCGCTTTGGGTAACTGGGTCTCGCTGGTGGAGATGAGCTTCCACTTGGGAAAATCCAACATTGACGATTGGGTCTCGTTGGTGGAGCAAAGCGGCGCTTTGGGTAACTGGGTCTCGCTGGTAGAGATGAGCTTCCACTTGGGAAAATTCAACGCTTCGGATAGGGTCTTGCTGGTGGAGGGAAGCGTTTACTCGGCGAAATTCAATGCTTTGGGTAACTGGGTCTCGCTGGTGGAGAAGCTAACACTTGGGAAAATCCAACGCTTGAATGACTGGGTCTCGCTGGTGGAGGAAAGAGTTCACTTGTGGAAATTTGACGCTTTGGGTAACTGGGTTTTGCTGGTGGAGATTGGCCTTCACATAGGAAAATCCAGCGTTTGAAGTACTGGGGCTCGTTGTGGAGGACAACTTTTACTCAAGTTATGGTTTTCCGTGTGGAAGAGAAAGCTTTTAGAGGGTTCCGCTGGTGAAGATTAGTTTTTATCTGAGGAAATCCCACTAGCGGTAACTGAGTCTTCTTTTGAAAATGAGTTTTACTTGGGGTTATACGCTTTAGTAGTGGGTTTGGCTGGCGCGCTGGTGGACATGTGCTTTTGCTAGGTAAAGCATCTCTTATCCTGTAGGAAAGGTGGTTGGAAACGAGCGCTTATTTAGAAAAATCAGCTTTTCTTTGAAGAAAGTAAAGCATTCAAGTAAGTGCGTCTCGCTGGTGGAGATGAGCGTTCATTTGGAAGGTCTTCCTATTTTGAGGAAAGCTTGATGATTGGGTCTGGCTGGTGGAGGCTTTCTGTAAAGGATTATAGCGGGTAACGTTTTCGTACATAATTGGCAAAATTTGACCGATGATTGAAGGGCATTTATCGAAAAAAAAATTTTGTGTAAGGATAACATAAGAGTAACAAGGTCTCGTTGTTCGGTGGCGGCTGACTTTTCAGAGAGGTTACTACGGGGGGTGACTTGGTGGTGCCTTATCGCAAAACCTATAGAAAAAAATTGTTCTGAGCGCGCTCACTTGAGGAAATTCTGTTCCTTCTTGTTTAAAGCGAAGCGCGTGAGTGAGGATCTCATTGATGGAGGTCATGCTTTCGAGCAAGAAGAATGTTTTCGGGAAGTGCGTTCATTTCACAGGCTCCAATATCTCATTGAAAATCTGCTTTGTAGACGTTTTCGTGAGGTAACCTCACCTATAATTGTAGAAAAGCGAGTTATTGACGAGTCCCGCAAAATAAAAAGGCTCAAGGTTTAGGGTAGAGTATCAGTCCAAAAAACTTTTTCAGATGTTTCCAGATAAAGATTCTACCTTGGAGCAAATTTAATGATTCGGCGGAAATTTTTTTCAAGTAAACTAAAGTTCAGGAAGATGTCACTGAGATGCACAAATTTTCGAAACATGTGCTTCGATCCACTTATAACGACCGGCAGGGTCGCTAGTCTGTTAAAACCTAAAATGTTCGGCCCTCTAAGGGACCAAACTTTTATCATGCTGAGCGAGTATGCAGTGGTCACTACCAGGATGAACGCGGTGCAAATCCGAAAAGGTACCCACAACGCGAACAAGCGTTGCCGCGTAACTATCACGATTCCTCTGCCGGTGTTACGTATTTTATAAAGCCACTCTGCGCACTTTCCCACTACTTCTCGACTTGGCGCTGTGGTCGCTGGCACGATTTCGAGTATTCCTGCAAGGACCTAAAATGTACTACGTCGTGGGCCTTGAGCTCGAACGTTAGCAGTCCCAACTCCGGGTGGGTGGGAGGCATACCTTCGATAGTAGAGACAGGGCACCAAAAGTGAAGGTTGTTTGAACATCTGACGTCATAAATAGTGAAGGTTGTTTAAAGAAGATCAGAGAAGAAAAAATGACGTAAAATAGATATAAAAAGCAAGAGAAACTGCTGAAAACCAGATAAAAATGCTGCAATAAGGTTTGAAATCTTTCGTTTGGCGGCTTTTCAAAGTGCAAGTTTTCGCTTCAAGACCAGCAATTCGCAACACGGGGTTTTGATTTTTGATGCCCTTTGAATTTTTACCCTCGCGCCGTCCCTCTTGTACCCTGCGACGTTGTCTGGATTCTTCCGCTCATCATTCTGAGCAAGCAACGTCCAAGCTGGAGAAAATTCGTTGCGAAACCACTGAAAAAGAACAAGGTAAAGAAAAACGCATTTTTTGGCAATTTTCACAAAAAAAAACCCGGCATAAGCAAAGAAATAAGCTCGGTGACGTTGTCTACAATATAGACAGAAACAAGACTTATCGACTACACAAAAAAAACTGCGTGAAAAGAGTCAAACTAGGAGAAAAACGAGAGATTTTCGAAAACAAGGTTTTTGCCGGATTTCTCTTTTAAATCATAAAAAGGGGTCTTGCGACGTTGTCAGCGTGAAAATAGAGATCAAGAGCTTCAAAATGATATATAGCTTGCTAAAATTGGGTTCGAAACAGCGAAGAAAAGGGTACCAGAGCCAAATGCCCCGCGCCCCGCGTTTGGGGTAGCGAGGTAGCGCGCAGCGCGCGGAGACGCAGACGAGCAGCGGAGACAGACCAGAGCAGGCGGGGCATTTGGCTCTGGTCATTGATCTCCGCGGGGTCATAACAAAACCCTATAATATTATATATCGTTGTGATCCTCATGAGACGGCCAGGAGCACTGACAACGTCGCAGGTCTTGAAAATCACTCCATGACGAGATAGACCAGCATTTATGTGGCGACTCTCTGCGCAAGATTTCAGCGCAGTTTCTCGTTTTTATTGAATTCCAGCTGCTTTCATGAGCCTCCAACGCTCAATCGCAGTCTACAGAAAGGTTAATTGATAAGTTTCATCCTAATTTCTAACTGTTTTGAAGAAAAACCTTCTTTTCAGCAAAAAAAGGCCATAAAAACGCGATCCTTCGGTTTTTGAGCTTTTTCTGGATGTCACTACTATATTTGCCCCATTCACATTCATCCTTACATAGTTAGTCATTAGTTATATCATAATATCCGGGCTTCGCCCCGGATGACTTCTGTATTCCTCTCCAGGTGAAGGTTGTGTCCTCTCATGACACTCAAAGTGAAGGTTACCAGAGTACGTGGCTCTATGTATCGAAGGTATGGTGGGAGGGTCCTGAGCTGACAAAAGACCGGAATGGTCAAAACAGTGCTAAGCACGCGTCTCAGCCAAACTCCGCCCCGCGTGCTTGGCACAACAACCCGTTGCGAAATTGCAAAACTCCATTTTTGTGGTGCACAAAATCTGATCGCAGCGTGAGCGAAACAGCGGCCGCCGCAGGCTGCCGACTTCCTGAGTGGAGCGCATGTTCGAATAGTCGGTGCCGCGTGCAGCTCCGGATCGCAATGCCATTACACGCGCGCAATGTCTCGAACCTTCTATCTCCTGTTTGGATGATAAAATTCGGTAGAAACTTATCACTTCCCTACAGGAAAGGTTTGCCCGTTCATTTCATTTTATACATTGTTTCAAAGTGAGTGGTAGGACTAAAATTTTCATGGTCCGCAGCTGGTAATAGACTGCAATATGGGGGATTTTTGCAAGTGAAAAACTGGGGTGTGCACAAAGCAAGCAAGAAAGAGAGGAAAGACAAGGAGATGTTGTTGTGGTGAGTGACCTTCCGAAGGGTTCCTCTCACAGTATCGTACTGTCGATGCATATGTCACTTGTTGTCGTTCCTTTTATTACACAGTTCTTGAAAACTGAGAGTGATAATACTATGAAGATTGCTAGTTCAATTACACAATTCTATCTTCAATCTTTCATTCATTCGGAATGATGGCCTAGGATAGCCTTTGGCGTGCAATTTAATGTCGTCTGTACCCACAGAAACCGGCTTTTGTTTACATGTTTTTCGTGGGCAACAACAGGTCGATTGTATGCGCTTTTCCTTTGCAGTCTGGGTATCATGCTTGATAAGGATTGCTTCATTGCTGGTATAACAGATCCCAACTATAATAGTCTCCTGGGAAGATTGCCCAGTCATCAACACAAACCTTGATTTTCTGAAAAAATTCCGTCGTTGGTTCCATTTGATTAGTCTCGAATGTCACTTAGAACATTCAGATGGGACGTTATATCAGAAATCCTTATGTGGGTAAAGAAGCAGCTTCGTCACAGCAAGTAAATGAGGAATGGTTGGAAAGGGCAGTAAAGATTGTTGCTGACCAAATCATCAATCGAGAATTTGATAGTGAAGAAATGGACGATGGTGAGAACATGTTCAAAGCTTCACGCTTTTTTTCTTCTTTACAATTCTGAAAGTCTGAATTCCCATATAATTTAGTTGGGCCATACACGGGACTTTCTGGAGTCGCATTTGCCTTAAACAAGGCTGCTCCTACAGTTGGCTCAAAGGCAGTCTCTACTGCTGAACAGTGCTGGAACTATTGCGATCGAGCGTCGAAGAGTGCGTGTTTCAGTTTCTTGTTATGCAGTTTCGTTTTTTTTTATTATTGACTTATTATTTCGTGTAACCCTAATGGACCTGCTAATTAAGAAAAAAACATTAGAATTAGAATTCTTTCTCGGCTTTGGTCATGCCTCACGCGATTGCGAAAAATCGCCAATGTTGGCTACTTGGTAGATTGTAGGTCATTCATAAAATCGTGACGATGGATTCGATTGCGGTCTTAGCGCCCAAAGGATCATAAAACACTCATACAGGGCATCAGTTCAACGCTTAGATTAGTCACTTTTAGTATCTAAGCTATTATATGTAAGCAGATAGGCCGTACGAGATGAAAACCAAGAAAATTGACTACTGGAGTTGCGTGCGCGTCGAGCGCTCGCGCCATCGTCACGATTTTTCGAATGCTCTATAGTACATCTCCATCGCGCTCAGATCTCGAATGCACAGGCTCACATTAGTTGATGAAGTTGGTCAAATCTTATTTACCAAGAGTGCTGAATCGTGAGCTATAGCAGCGCAACACTCGGCGCGAGTTGCTGAGTAATTTGAAATGAATGAGGTGTTTTGTCCGGCGCGGGCGTATGTAGCATAGTCAGTCATATTTTAGTATGTTGAGTACAAACAGTAATTTTTGATGCATTCACATTGAGATTGGTAGTGTCGAGTTTGCGTTGGTAACTCTTACGGACAACCTTTACTATGCTCCTTTTCATGTTTTGAGATTCCATAATTATCACTCTTTTGCAGGATCTTCGAGAAAACCTCGTTTTCTATGTGGCGATCTCGGGGTTTACGTCACTCAGATGACAAACTCGGACATGAGGCAGTCTTTAATCGCGAAAATAGAAGATGTTGCTGATGTGCTCGCTAGGGTTAGTCACTTGCATCTTGCATGATTCAGTCTAAACGAAATTTCTGGGATTTCTTATCCAGCAAACATTTCCGTGAAGTTTTAGGACGATTATCCCAGTGATGAAATGCTAGTGGGACGAGCTGGTTACCTTAGCGGCGTAATGTGGATCAGGTGGATGGCTGATTTTGATCACTTTCCATTTTTCTCTAATTTTGCTTTCATAGAACTACAATAGATTCTTCTCTGGTCTCTAACGATTGTGTGCAGAAGGTTCTGTCCGCCATGTTGCGTTCAGGAAGGAAGTAAGTCGTTTTATGGCTCTGAGTCGTTTTCACAAACTTTGCGAGTACTCTTTCAGTTATTCGATGCAGAGAAGATCTCCATGCCCATTGATGTATGATTATCATGGTACGGAATATTTGGGGGCTGCCCACGGTCTTGCTGGTATCCTGCAAATGGCTCTTGGGTGAAAAATAGATTGAAGATTAGTCGCTTGATTCATAATCACCTGCTCAGGTTCTACGATTTCCTTTCGGATAGCGAAGAACGCGCGGTACGAGAGAGTGCTGATTGGTTGATGTCAACTCAAGATGACGAAGGAAATTTCGCTAGTAGTGTGAAGTGGATTGGAAGGTAATTTCTCAGGATTTGCATTTGTTTTTGGAATTTCTTATTGACTATTTGCGTATGTTTTCAAAAATTTTGAGATGGCGACTTTTCTGCACTGTTGGCTGTTTACCGCAGTTTTGATTTGGGATCTGATTCTCACTTTCGCTTCTGCGCAGTGGCGTACCCAGGATCTCGGCTCGGGGGGGGGGGGGGCGACAAAAATTTTTTTTCGATGAAGGTGCGTGGCGTCAGCCACGCACTCCGAAAAATTTTTTGGTATGCTTCCTGAAATTTTTGGAGGCTCAGGACCCCGAAATTTCAGAAAAAGGGGGCGTGGCGTCAGCCACGCCCCCGAAAAAATTTTTTTTATAAGGCTAAATTGAATTTTTAAAAATTTTTAAAAATTATTTTAATTACTTACAAGTATAAATAAGTCTTTTGCACATTTTTATAACTCATGTAAGTAACTTTCAAAAATTTCGCGACCCATTCTCGGGGGGGGGGGGGGGGGGGGCGCTCCCCTCCCCCCCCCCCCCCCCGCCCCATCCCCCTCGGTACGCCACTGCTTCTGCGGTATTAGACATATTCCAATTTTGGCTTACTATAACATCACAGTTGATGGTGTTCTTCCTTTCCTCGAAATGGCTTCTTTCTTTTTTTGGAACACAACTTTTGAGATGTTGAGATGAGAACCGTAAAAATTAAGAGAGCGAGGTGATGATCAGCTGGTACATTGGTGTCACGGAGCCTCTGGTGTCATACTACTGTGTTTGACGCTATGGAAACGATATGGGGATGAGAAGTACCTCAAAGTAAGGAATTTAGAGAGAGAGATCGCTTTGTTACTAGTACTTGAAACAAATTCAGGCTGCTCTGCGGTGCGGTGATCTCATCTGGGTGAAAGGCGTGCTGAAAAAGGGGCCTGGCATATGTCATGGTGTGGGAGGGAATGGTAAGTCAGGTCTAATCACTTGTCGCAGTACTTGTTGCATCGACAGAATTGCAGGTTACGCTCTCTTGATGCTCTATCGGGCATGTGGAGACGAACTATGGTTGCAACGCGCTCGATGTTTCGCTTTGCTGCTTTTGGATAAGAATGTCAGAGCTGCTCAAAGAACTCCAGACTCACCATTCAGTCTCTTTGAAGGTTTATCGGGAGCTCTTTGCTTTCTCGTTGATCTATTGCCAGAAAATATTGACAGAGCACAATTTCCATTGTATCCGGTTCCATTTTAATTGTCAAATAATCAATGTGTAGTTGACTCGTTGACCGCACGGACTGGACATCACTGCTACGCAGTGCGCCGTGAGGTAAAGCGCTGCCCCGGTACAAATACTTCATTATACAAGTCATGCTTTCGAGACAATCTAGCCGCGCCGCACGTGGTCCGCAGCGTTTGAGCAGTCCGTGCGGTCAACGAACCGACGATAGTTGTCACGCGTACGGTCTATTTCATCCCGGTGCAGGAGGAGCATTCCGTAAAGAGGTCTGCCAGCGTACAGCGCCTGCCAAGAACCGAGAAGAATGAGGAGACGCAGAACTCGGGTATCGTCACGACATGCGGTGCCGTCGCGATAGGCGCGAAATGTTGCGTGGCGGGCGCGCTCAGTCACAAGTACGGCCTGAATCGGGTTGAAACAGACTGTAAATGTATCATAGATAGAAGTTTCTGCTTAGTTCTTCGCATGTGTTCATAGTCTCCGAAATTATCTTTTGCTAATAATTAGCAGGAAAATGTACAATCATCATGTTTTGTTCCAACAAAAACTATCAAATCTCTAAATTCGTTTTTGTAACTGTATATGTTGCTCGTGCAAATGAACAGCTCTCATTGACAAAGTATTCTTGCCAAACAGGTTTGTTAGGTGATCTTTATTAATCCAGGCCTGACGTTTCGACGCCTTCGTTTTCCTCAGAGGCCTGAAAATGGCTCAAAGTGTCATTTGTAGCTCCAAGCCATCAAACACCCTTCTTAATCCTGCTAGTTCTCAACTTTCGCCTGACTTCCATTAAAACGTCAGGGCGGAAGCTGAACATACCGACAGATCACAAATGCGAGTTTCCGCACCGGAAATGATGGTCACAGCGGAAGAATGAAGTGTACCATAGATGACCATCGGATGTCATCTACAGATTGCATGACGATATGAAGGGAAGGAAGTCGGAGGTCATGGACAGGCACTCATTTTTGTTGTTTATAGCTGGATTTTTCACTGTCCAGAACGCTTCTAACGCTTTCCTAGCCGAAGTTCACTTTTCGTAAGTCAAGATTTCACATCTAAAAATCATCTCCACCATGCGTTTCAATTCTATTCCTGCCCAGAGGTGATAATTGGGTTTAACGCCTTTTATCTGTCATGTGTTATGCGAGTGCCTAATGGTCTTCCTGCCTCTCCAATGTAGATTACAGCTAAGACATTCAATTCGATAAATCATTCCCACATTGGCACTATCGCCTGCTTTACCATGCGGGTATACTACGCAGCATTGCTTCAACATACAGTATCGATCATACAGTCTATTTCTAACTAACTGCTTTTTTGATGTTGTCGTTCGGAATGAACACTAAAGTAACATCATCTTGCAGTTCTGCGCGAAGTATGCATTTTCGAAAAGTCGCATTGACGCTGTCAGCGATAAACGGAAGGCACAGTGGAAGCTTATTATCGTTATGAATGTTGTTACCATTTTTGAGATGTTGACTTTGTGGTAAAGAATGGTACCCATTGCTGCAAGCAATCTGTGACGCTAAATCTTGTGACTCGCAACGTTCTCTTTCTTCAGAGCACATCTGCATGGCTGTTCTGAGCATGTTTCCAATGACAGCTCTCTTCACAGATGCTGGATGTGCGGATTTTTTTATAAGAGTGTTCTGGGAGCTTTCTTCACGGAACCATTTCACGCTAACAATGCCCTTGGACAACTTCACTTGCGCGTTGAGATAGGGTGGCCACCCGTTATCTGGTGAGCTTCTCGAGTGAGCTTTATATACTGCGATTGCTGATTGAAGAGGTCGAAACACATGTCCATCTCGGACTGCGTGGAGGTGACAATACAGCAATCATTGATATAACGGCAGTACATCAGCGGCATGAGAGCGGTTCTTCAATTTTGTTCATAAAGCATGGCGAGCACTGGCGCTAATCTTTGACCCATAGCTAAGCCGCGTATCTGGGAGTAATAAGTCTAATAAGTCCCAGACCATCTTAAGATGTTGCACTGCAAGCATTCGCTACTAGGGATGATTTGCGCTTTACCCAGTCCAAACATATTCATAGTACCACCGTATTTAACATCTCCGATACAGCCTGCAATTCTTGCTCATTTTACACATGAGTACAGAGTGAGATCACGTCAAATGACTCGATCACTGCGCTCGAATCAAACCTAGCGCTCTGGAGTTGTTCGATAAATTCATTCGAGCTGGACAAAGTGCCGATATCTTTGATAGCAGCTGGCTCACTATTTTGTTCAAGAAATACAAGATTCAGTCGGTAGGGCCGCCTATACAACTGATTATTGGTCTAATTTTGCAAGTTTCCTAACATTTAGTTCATGTTCAGTAAAAAAAGCTTGTGCGTTTTGAGAAGGCTGTAAACTGGACAAGTCGGACTCCTTAATTTCAACCTGCTTATGAATCTATCCTCTAGTCCGGCAGACTTGCCTATTGCCGTCCAAGTGTCATTCAGTTTCTTACACTGTGACTGGAATTCTTTCTCAGAGACCACTCTGTACGTTGTGGAGTCGGCTAGATAGGCTGTTGTTATGCGGCGGTCTAACTCTTGCGGCATTACCACAAACTCGCCACCTTTATCGCTTACAGACAATATGTACCGTTTAAAACGAGTTCACGCATCTCTTTAAATCCCTGCCATTGTTTGCGTGTCAGGTTGCTCTGATGCTATCGTTTTGCTTTGTTGAGAACTTCTAGAACACCTGAGCATAAAAGACGGACTTGATATCTACTTCAGGAACGGGTCCGGGTAAGACGATGGTGGGAATGGAATTGTTGGTATTAAGCTCTGAGAGTTGTTAACTGCTGTCGTTGCGCGACTCTTGTTTCTCTTTCGTATTTTCAAAGTCTCTAAGTTTGTGCAGGCTTCCGACTACTTTGCGACAAATTGCAGCGTTAACATTTTGTGCACGCGAGAATGAAGGGCCAAGGCTATGCTCTTCAATATTTTTAGATATTTGAGCGCTGCCAATAACCGTGACTCTCGACTTTCCTTCATTGTGACATGCAAGGTATTCAAAGCGATTGTCGGAACTGCCACTTCTACCACGTGAACAATATTTACATAGATCAGTGAGGAGTCGGTCGTACTTTGCTCGGAGCTCGGACTTGATCTTAGATCGAATCAGACTACAGATTTGCTTTGACCCATCCTCAATCCTCCTTCAACGTTCAATAGGCAGGAGACGTTTACATGCCTGTTCTTTAGCATCGCATTTCAATAAAGTTGCATACAATGATCTCTGTTTTTGTTTGATGATGGCGTTCAAAATAGACTGGTAGATCTTCACTATCTTCGGATCATCTTCGCTGAGATCACAGGTATATCCTATTCTCTTATTTGATGAATGCAGGTAAAATGTTCTGTCATTGGAAACATGTTCAAAACAGCCATGCAGATGTGCTCTGAAGAAAGAGAACGTTGCGAGTCACAAGGTTTAGCGTCACAGATTGCTTGCAGCAATGGGTACCATTCTTTACCACATAGCCAACATCTCAGAAATGGTAACAACATTCATAACGATAATGAGCTTCCACTGTGCCCTCCGTTTATCTCTGACAGCGTCAATGCGGCTTTTCGAAAATGCATACAACGCGCAGAATTGCAAGATGAGTTACTTTAGTGTCCATTCCGAACGACAACATCAAAAAAGCAGTTAGTTAGAAATAGACTGTATGATCGATACTGTATGTTGAAGCAATGCTGCGTAGTATGCCCGCATAAAGTGGGCGATTGTGCTAAAGTGGGAATGATTTATCGAATTGAATGTCTTAGCTGTAACTCTACAGTGGAGAGACAGGAAGACCATTAGGCACTCGCATAAACGAACACATCACAGATAAAAGGCGTTAAACCCAATTATCACTTCTGGGCAGGCATAGAATTGAAACGCATGGTGGAGATGATTTTTAGATGTGAAATCTTGACTTACGAAAAGTAAACTTCGGCTATGAAAGCGTTAGAAGCGTTCTGGACAGTGAAAAATCCAGCTATAAACAACAAAAATGAGTGCCTGTCCATAACCTCCGACTTCCTTCCCTTCTTATCGTCATGCGATCTGTAGATGACATCCGATGGTCATCTATGGTATACTTCATTCTTCCGCTGTGACTATCATTTCCGGTGCGGAAACTCGCATTTGTGATCTGTCTATCGCGGATCGCGATGCAATTGAGCAACATAGTGCATGAGAGTTGCATAAGATGACCCCTCAATACCAGCTGAGACGTTCACGGATCGCAATGCTTGCCAAATAAAAAAGCTACTTGCGGAACGCCAAGGAATGAATCCACGATGCCAGATGCGACATTCCCTTCGGCAAAAAGACCTCGGTCTACAAATAAAAACGATTGCAGCTGCAGAAGGAACGCTGGAGCCAGCAAGCGAACGTCTATATATACTTAGTCATTATTACTCATGCATTTTCCATCACTTACACTCATTACTTGTGTTGCCTTATTATCCGCTCATTCCTTGTACGCAGGATAGCACATTTAACACTCCTATCGCATGTTTTCTATCTCCTCTTGTACATTTCCTACAAGTAGTCCAAATTCACAGGATATCCAAGATATTATTTTGGTTTGACTCATCATCATCATAGTTTTAACCATTTGTTAGTGATTTTGTCACTTTTTCATGTTGATGCTTCGTTGTTTATGTGTGTATATTTTAAGCAGAATGAGGGTTTAATTACCCAAGTTTGAGGTAACCGACAATAAACGTGTGACGTTTGTGTGGTGGTTGGTGTGGTTCTATTGGCAAGGTTGTGGCAACCTTTTTATGGTGCATCGGCTATACGGATCTTGGCCGCAGGAAGTCAGTGAGTTATAGCATCGATTTGCTTGACTGCTTGACTGGAGATTGTCTTGCAAAATTCTACGTCGGTAGAACTGATATCAGATTATTCGGATTACAAAGCACAGAGAACAATGGCGGGACCCACATCGTTGAAGGTAGCAAAAGCCCTTCTGACAAGATACTGTAACAACCTACAGCGCCTGACTGAGGAAAGTGAAAAGGCGCTGAAAACGGAGGAACTCAAAGTTTGGAACATGCAGCAATCACAGGAGGTCCAAAGAAAGGTAATGGAGCTAGAGGCAAACATCAATCTTGTATCGCAAAGCCTGGAAAAATTTGCCAACGTTGTTGACACCGTAATGGAGTCAGTTACAGAAGAACAGGAACAACAAGTTCAGGAATACATTGACAAGGCGCAAACAACTATCGATCAAGCCCAGAAATTAACGATACAGCTGGAGTCTGCAAGGATAAGCGCACGTGATCACGCAGGAGACCCCACGCGCCCGACAAGTTCGTCTTTGAGGGCACATGGAGAAGCACCCACGTCTCAGTTACCTCCTATTCCAGTGCCAACGTTTACGGGAGAGCTATGGGACTTCGAAAATTTTTGGAGACTATTCGAAGCAAACGTCGATCACCAACCACTCACCAAGCTACAAAAGTTCAACTACCTGATAAACGCTCTAAGGGGTGAAGCACGAGAACTAGTAAACCGCTTTACGGTCACGGAGGACAATTATGAGGAAGCAATCGCGATGTTACGCCGAAAATATGGGGATAAATCTCGCCTTGTTGCGAAGCTCCAACAGCGTCTGGAAGAAACGTACGCAGCTAATACTAGTACGACAGCACAACGACGTCTGTTAGAAACAATCATTCCACTGATTTCGCAGTTAGAAGCTCACAAAGTTTATCTGGATGGATCCTTTGCCGCACAGAAGCTGCTATCAAAATTCAGTGCTTCGATTCAGCGCAAGATCCTACAGCAGTACATCACTCCAGAGATGCAAGAAAAAAATTGGCACATAAAAGATATCATCACGGCGTTGGACGACTGCATATCAACGGAAGAGCGAATCAGTGAGATGATGACATACACGACAAACGCAACGAACACTTATACAAGAAGGACAAGAACGATACCTTATAGAGAGGTAGACATCTCAGCATCATGTTTGTTCTGTAATGATACAACTCACAGAATGGCGGCATGTGACAAACTCACTCTTGCACAAAGGCGCAAATTCTTCCAAGAGTCTAACAGATGTCTGAACTGCGCAAGTCAAGGGCACTTTGTGAAAGATTGTAGGAGTCCAGGATGCAGAGCATGCGTGGGTCAAAAACATCATCACTCTTTGTGTCCAAAAAGGAATGACAATGAAGGTCGATCACAAAACCCGCGAACTCAAGCATTTGGAATAACTCGGAACTTTCAAAGGTCACCTCAACAAGATATCCTGCCATATTTGAAACCAACGGCTCGGACACATCTTCTCAGCGCAGAAGACCCCTCAGGAGAACCACAGGCAGAACAAGTGCAAGACAACAAACCCGCAACAGTTCTTCACAACGAAGAACGTCCTAAGGGAGAAGATCAAAGCTTTGTGTCACTTCTCACTGGAATAGCACAAATCTGGAACCCTAGAGAGGGAAAATGGATGGAAGTGGAAATTCTCTTTGACACGGGAGCAGACCAATCGTTTATTGGCACCGAGTTAGCGAAGCGAATTGGAGCAGATTACATCCAAACAAATTGCTTGCAGACGTACACATTTGGCACTGCGGAACCAAGATGTGTGGAATATGGAGTGACTAACGTTAAGATTTGCGATCATCAAGGTCACCTTCATGCATTAACCCTTTTTGCAACACCCATACTTACTGGAAAAGGGAAGTCAGCAGGCCTGAACGCACAAGACCAGAGCTTCATAAACGAGCATAAAATACAACTGTCCAGAAAACAGGCGAACAATTCTTGTCCCGAAATTCTGCTAGGATGCGATCAACTATGGAACTTCTTAGACGCGGCTTCACCACGATTTACGTTACCATCAGGATTGATCTTAGTACCCTCCAAGTTCGGATTTTTGCTGACCGGGAAGCAACGTAAAGAAACCGAACCATCGGGAAAAACACCCTCATCGCCTAGCACCTCAGTAGCTATGGTTCAAGTCCTTACAAACTTCGAAGCGGACTTCGAGGAAGATAGGGATCGGTGGGATAAGTACTGGACCATAGATTCGGCCGGTATCTGCGAATTCACGGGCACCAAAGACGCAGAAAAAGAAGCTAACAATGCAAAGGTTGCGCAGTTTTTCAAGGACACAATACAAAGACGCAATGACGGCTATTATGTGAGGCTACCATTCAAAGAAGATCATCCTTATCTTCCAAACAATAGAGCCATAGCGAAAAAACGGCTCAACAGCGTTCTGCTCATGCTGAAATCGAAACCAGATTTACTCCAAGCATACGATCAAGCCCTGAAAGATCAGCTAGAGAAGGGGATAATCCAGGAGATTCCGGGAGATGAAGCAGCTGTCGGAAAACATTTGCATTATATCCCTCACCAACCCGTGATCATGCCGCACAAGGAGATAACAAAACTTCGCATAGTTTTCGATGCCTCATCTCATTTTAAGGACTGTCCATCACTGAATGACGTACTTTACCAAGGTCCACTCATTCTTCCCGATCTGTATGCGATGTTACTCCGCTTCAGAATGGCATCGTTTGCAGCCACAGCGGACGTGGAGAAGGCATTCTTGCAAGTTCATCTTCATGAACTTGATCGCGATGCTACAAGATTTTTATGGGTCCGCCACATTAACTCACCTGCAGAAGAGGACAACATTGTCACCTACAGGTTCACAAGAGTGATATTTGGATTGAATGTATCGCCCTTCCTACTGGCCGGAACGATACAGTACCACTTAGAGCACTCCGTCATCGATCGACCACTTGCAAAGGAAATTCGAGAAAACCTGTATGTAGACAATCTCATTTTGACAGCGCACAAGGAAGAGGAGCTCAACGCGAAGGCTGTTAAAGCACGAAACATCTTCACGGAAATGGGAATGAACCTCCGCGAATTTCTGTCAAACACGAGAGGACTGCACAAAATGATTCCGGAAGAAGCTCTGGCTCGAGGCAAATCTCAGAAAATACTTGGACTTCAATGGGATACAGAAAAGGACATGGTCACCATCACTTGCAAGATACCCAAACAAGAATATGCTACAAAAAGACTCGTTGCTCGCCACATCGCCTCTGTTTACGACCCTTTAGGCTGGCTAATCCCGCTTATGGTCAAGATGAAGGTGTTTCAGCAAGACCTTTGGAAACAACGATTGCAATGGGACGAGAGGCTTTCAGGCACTCTTCAAGAAAAGTGGGATTATTTGAGAGAAGAAGTGGACGGATTTCAAAAACCTTTGTCTCGCAAGGCATTAATTGATACGAAGGAATTTCAATTGGCGATCTTCGCGGACGCAAGCGAGCAATGTATGGCAGCATGTGCTTACGTGCTCTACGACAAATCAGCCAGCTTAGTTATGGCAAAATCGAAACTGGCATCCATAAAAGTACGCACAACTATACCAAAGATGGAGTTGAACGCGATCACGATAGCAGCGCGACTGGCACTTGCTGTATTCAAGGCTGTGAAGACGGAAGCCTATCCCAGAAAGATGCACATTCTCTCAGATTCACAAGTGGCGCTTAGCTGGGTATCATCAGACCCACAACAAATCAAACCGGGAGTCTTAGTGCGCAATAGAGTCAATGAAGTTCACAAGATCGTCACCACATCGGAAGAGGAAGGAGTAGCGGTTAACTTCCACTATATAAGTTCAGAAGAAAACCCTGCCGATGCTGGAACTCGAGGCCTGAAGTCCTACGAACTTGAAGATCACCCATGGTGGACAGGACCAAAGTTTTTACGAAAACCGGAGAAACAGTGGCCAACACAGCTCTACTACCTGAAGAACACGAATCAGGAAAAGGAGAACGCAACAACTACACTGATCGTTTGTGAGACAGCTGTGGAGACTGAAGTAGCGACAACCTTTTTGGACATTACAAGATTTTCGAGCTTCCAGTCGGCAAAGCGAGCAGCGGCGATGGCACTTATCTTCCTCAAGAAGTTGATACGAAGACTAAGCGAAAACCGTAGAAGGCAGATACTCAGTAAGATGACATTCCTGAAAGATGTTCAAGATTGTCCACTTCCTATCACTGGCCCAAGCATACTGGCGGCACGACTGGCGATTATAGAAGATCATCAACGACGCTTCATGTCCCCCGAATACATAAAATCCATGGAAAACACTTTACGCCTTTTTCAAGATGAAAAATCAATATGGCGCTCACGAGGACGACTAGAAATGTCAACGCTTGACTCCATGGCCAAAAATCCCATCTTCATCACCCCAAAAACACATTTAGCCCGACTGATCATAGCTGAAGCACATGGCTGCTATCATCGAAGCATAGATCATACAATGATGACGGTGAGAAGTCAATACTGGATTCCTCGACTGCGTCAACAAACGAGAACCTTCATTCAAAAGTGTGTGAAATGTAGACGCTTCAACGCGCTGCCCTACCATTATCCAGACACACAAGATCTTCCTCAACGGAGAGTACAAAGAAGCCGCCCTTTCCAGCACGTTGGTCTTGATTTCTTTGACTTACCAACCCTTTCTAAGGAGGATAATGACAAGCAATACGGATGCATATTTACCTGCACAGTTACCCGCATGATACATCTGGAACTAACAAACAGCATGTCGACAGAGGACTTTCTGAATGCGCTTCGACGATTCATAGCACGAAGAGGAATCCCGGAATCGATAACCTGCGATAACGCCCCAACATTCCTTTTGAGCGCTACCATTCTAGAAGAAGGCCGCCTGGATTCTTGCCTACCCGCGAATGTTGCATACACCACCAGTAATATGGGAATAAAGTGGCATCATATCACACCCTATGCCCCATGGCAAGGAGCTTTCTATGAACGTCTTATCAAACCAATCAAGCATGCATTATACAAGGCTCTGCGAGGAATATCTGTGAGGACAAAGGATGACTTATACACCATCTTAACGGAAGTGGAGGCTTGTTTGAATTCCCGTCCCTTGACATACCAAAGCTCTTCCCATGAAGACTTCTCAGCAATACGACCTGTCGACTTTTGTCAAAACGAACTGGAGGTGACATTTCCCCTAGACGGATCTTCAGCGATAGCAGAATCAGACGCGGAATATTTACCACCGGACGAGATAAGAGCATTACAAACGCGTCGACAGGCCGAAGAAGCCATCAAATCATCATGTAAAATCACAGAGCAATTTTGGAAAATCTGGCAAGAACACTACCTGACCTTTCTTCGAGAAAAGCACGTCAAAAACACATCAAGAAAACGATTGGGGCAAGAAATACCGACGAAAGGATCTGTGGTGCTCGTCAGCGACCCCGTGCTTCCAAGAAATTCATGGAAACTGGCCCGAATCACGGATGTTCGACGAGGAACCGACGGGGCTATCCGGGAGGTAGAACTACAAACCAGCACCAAACGCAAAATACGACGCCCTGTAAACCTGTTAATTCCATTGGAACTGGATGAAGAGATTGGCAGTCCGGAAAGCGACACGGAAACCCAGCAGGGGCCACAACAAGACGAGTTGCAGGTGTCACGGAACGAGCAAGAAGAAAAACGTTATGACCTTCGACCTCGACAACCAGTAAGCTATGTTGAAAATGTCATGACCACGTCAAGTAGGGATCAGATGCGGAACTCGAGGACAAAATGGTTCCTTTTCCACATCATGCTTTCCATGCTCACCAGCATCAGTCAAGGCAAACATTCAAACAACATCAAGCTGTCGTGCAGTGAGAATGGAGTCCATATCAGCCCTCATACTAATGCAACATTCGAGGTTTGTGCTGAAAGTTACTGCAAGTTATATCAATCGCAGTCGAAATCTATCGCGCTGAAATTTCCACCAGAAATCACGTTGCACGACTACACGGTGTCAGTCAAATGGATGGCGGAACAACACCTATCTATCATGGAAACCAGGTGCCCAGCTCTTAAATTTTGTGAAAACATTGACTGCAGTCTATGTATCACAATATTATTGAATCCGGAATGCTGGCCAACAAGAGCCATACTCATTGGAGTCGTACTCCTATATGTCACCGTCGCACTGCTCTATTTACTACTTTATGTGCCAATGACCATTGGAAAACCCATACGCTTGATATTGTGGGGAATAGTAAGGACGATTGTCATTATTGTGCGAATGGTCAGATGTTGCATTAGGATTCTCTCGCGCCGCACGAGACGACTGCGCACTAGACAAGAACGGATAGCTGCGATACTGGCGATCGTCATAATGCTGGAAGGCGGACAACAGCTCGAGGCTTGTCAGTATGTCAGTGTTCTCGAACATCACACCACGGTATGCAAGGTAAAAGAAGGCAAGGAAGAATGCACATTTGTACTTTCGGAAACGCTGAAGATCAATACGTTCAAACAAGAAGCTTGTTTGCGACTAACAGCAAACAACTCGCTGATAGCAAATGTAAAAATAAGATGGTTGGGACTCCACCTAACATGTGAACGCGAAACCTTATACTTTACCCGTTCAACCGAGTTGAGGACCATCGACAGTAAACGCTGCCCACATATGGGTTCATGCACAGGTAACAAGTGCGCGGACGTAAACAGTACAACCCTATTGCCGGAACTGCATCAGGCGAACCAGTGTCCAGGAAGAACGGGATGTTTTGAGTCGTGCGGAGGACTTGGATGCGACTGCTTTTATCCAAGCTCGGGCTGCCTCTTCTACAGAATATATGCCGTGCCCACAGACGAGAAGATCTATGAAATGTTTAGGTGCGCACGATGGGCGGAAACGGTCAAGCTGGAATTCTCTGTAGAAAATACACACTCGAAAGAAGAACAAAGAAAACATCTTGTCACACTAATTCCAAACGTACCTCACGATTTTTCAGCGTTTAGGATAACTATGACCACAATCGCACTACCACCGACGCCTACGCTCGGAGACATGTTCATTACAGACGGAGAAGAAACCTCCATTTGGCAAGAACCATTTGAGACCGACCTATTCTGCAGCACCTGGCAGAAAGCAAACTCTTCCGATTGTATTCTGCGCGACAGCTGTCAGTGGCCGGCGGAGTCGTGGGTAAACTGTCAATGTCTTTCGAAGGATTTAACCCAGGAATTCAATCGCGTTGACTTGAAACTACCAGTGCAGCGGTCATCGGGAGAGCTTAGGATATTCGAAGGAATCTTGACAGCGAAGATACCGCAAATGGTGTCAGCTGAGTTTATATTAGCCACCGAGCAAACAGTGAGCACAGAACAAGTGAAGGTTTTAGTGAAACAAGGTAGCTGCACAATACCCGACAGCGAGATAACGGGCTGTTATAACTGCGTAAAAGGAGCAGAAGCAAAGATCCAGTGCTCTTCGTCGCGTGAGACACTTGCGGAAGTGCTTTGCGAACAAGACGCATTTGTCGTGCCATGTGCCCCTAACGCTCCACAGTCTACTTTACAATTCCACCTGAACCACGCCAAGCAACTGCTGAACTGTTCGGTGTACTGCGGGGATACTCATCAATTTTTCGTTCTTACAGGAGTACTCAAATACGTGGGAAACTGGCGAGCACCGATGCTGCAAATGATGGCGAGAAACAGCACAGTCTACGGAGAGTTCGCTTGGCCGGACTTCACTCACATACTGGAGGTATTTTTCGCTTGGTACAAGACGCTTGCGATTACCCTTGTAGGAGTGGGTCTGCTCGTGTTAATCATCTACCTGAGCTTTCAAGGATTGGGAATATCCGCTTTTTGGACTATCCTACGCTTTTTCGCCAGGATAGTGTGCCTACCGATGCATATAGTGGTAAAAGTAGGAAGATGCTTACAAAGAACGACGTTCCACAACCCCCACCAGAAAACAGTTTAAGGAATACGCGCTACACTATTTTCCCAATGAACAAGTTCCAGGTAGTTGCGAATCTTGCGTGGCCGGGAGTATCGCGGATCGCGATGCAATTGAGCAACATAGTGCATGAGAGTTGCATACGATGACCCCTCAATACCAGCTGAGACGTTCACGGATCGCAATGCTTGCCAAATAAAAAAGCTACTTGCGGAACGCCAAGGAATGAATCCACGATGCCAGATGCGACATTCCCTTCGGCAAAAAGACCTCGGTCTACAAATAAAAACGATTGCAGCTGCAGAAGGAACGATGGAGCCAGCAAGCGAACGTCTATATATACTTAGTCATTATTACTCATGCATTTTCCATCACTTACACTCATTACTTGTGTTGCCTTATTATCCGCTCATTCCTTGTACGCAGGATAGCACATTTAACACTCCTATCGCATGTTTTCTATCTCCTCTTGTACATTTCCTACAAGTAGTCCAAATTCACAGGATATCCAAGATATTATTTTGGTTTGACTCATCATCATCATAGTTTTAACTATTTGTTAGTGATTTTGTCACTTTTTCATGTTGATGCTTCGTTGTTTATGTGTGTATATTTTAAGCAGAATGAGGGTTTAATTACCCAAGTTTGAGGTAACCGACAATAAACGTGTGACGTTTGTGTGGTGGTTGGTGTGGTTCTATTGGCAAGGTTGTGGCAACCTTTTTACTGTCGGTATGTTCAGCTTCCGCCCTGACGTTTTAATGGAAGTCAGGCGAAAGTTGAGAACTAGCAGGATTAGGAAGGGTGTTTGATGGCTTGGAGCTACAGATGACACTTTGAGCCATTTTCAGGCGTCTGAGGAAGACGAAGGCGTCCAAACGTCAGGCCTCGGTTGGATTAATAAAGATCACCGAACAAACCTGTTTTTCACAGAATACTTTGTCAATACGAACAATGCCCAGGTTCAAAGAAAGTGGAACTTGGAAGTTAAATAGCTCTCATTGTTAAGGCAGATATGTTACAGCTCTTCTTGCACCGCTCATATAGTTTAAATGATGTACTATATTTTAGTATATATGTTATAGGAATGCCCAAAGGGATTGATAGGCATCTGTAATTATTGACTAACAAAATTTGTCAGTCCGGCAGTAACGCAAAATCTTTGGGAGACGGCCTCGCACGGTAGTCTCCATCAGCCATCCAAATGACTTGTCTCAGCACGAGACAAGTCATTTGGATGGCTGATGGAGTCACAAGGGCAAATCTTCTCTCTGTTTTGCTCACAAAGAAGGTCAGAAGTCAAAGGTCAATCCACACAAGCTGCACACTATTGCATGCAGCAAGACAGTAAGACGCTGACTCCAAATCTAGTCTTTGTAACTGCTAAACGTATCTGTGGACGAGGTTAGACATTTATTGCAAAGAAATCGTCCGTATAATCGAACCAACTATTCCCTTCTAACGAGGGAGATTTTAGTCGAAGTGGCATTTCTATTCATATGAGATGTGAAACACCGGCCGCTCTTTGCCGCTACGCGGCGATTCGGCTGATAGCCGCCTCGCGTATCTTTCGTTCCACTCTATGTTGTGCAAATGTAAGAATTTGCTTGTGAATTTGTTAGATCGTACGGAACACTCCGCTTCAACCTATGAGTCGATGATAATTGAGGACACAGTCTTGGCCTCTCAATTGTATTTGAGTTGATATTCTAAGCAACAGACAATGCGCCAACAACATGGAAGGGCTGGCTGTGTCCCATGCTGTAAGGGGCTAATGACGTACCAGGGTGTTGGAACTAACAAGGGAAGCTACCTAACTTAACTCGGCAAGGGACATATATAGTCTGAATCAACTTCAAACACTGATTACAAATATGCTCTTCCAGCTGCCACGCACAGTTCCGAAGCGAATTATGGACTTTTCCTTCGCAAAATTGACATGCTCATCGACTTAAGGGCATCACGTCATCATCATTTAGGTGCTAATACACCTGCGTTAAGCTTTTTTTTAGTGAGAAAGATTGGATTTGTACTATTTCGATATTTCAGCACCTTTTTCTTGCAGGTTTTTATCTACAGGCACTTCTCATGTTCAGCAGTATGCCAACTTTGCCTAGGGAAAAGCCCATAACTTGCTTCGGAATAGTGCATGGCAGCTAGGAATAGCATATTCGGAATCAGCGTTTGAAGCTGATTCAGAATATATATGCCTTTTACCAAAAGGCCGAGCTGAGTTAGATAGCTTTCCTTATAAGCATTCAAAGGAGGTAGAGTACGTGAGAATAGCGTCATGGGCAGATGGGGGGGGGGGTAAGGGTGTTGACTGACATTGTTGATATGGTGGTTATGTTTTATTTTGTGGGTGATTGACATTTCTGATTTTTGTGAACTTAGCTGGTCGATGGATCTCGCTGAGAGATACAAAAAATTAATGAATAGATAGACGAAGCCAATAACTGAAGTAGTAGATATTGTATTCGTAATAACCATGTATCTATCCTTTCCTTCCTGTCAGTTTTTAGCCCCGATAGGTAAAGTAAGGAAAAAATTGGTAAACGATTTAGCCTATAGTTTATGTATGCGAAGTTTGGTTCAGATCTCATTTTTTTTTCTATAATTCTGGGCCAGTCATAACAAAACTGCTGAACAAAAAAAAGCCGGAAGTTATAGAATCAAAAGCGACATTATATTTTTAATAAAAGCTTAGTGAGAAACGCCCGCCCGAAGCTACGCGAGTCTTTGAAAGGTACCAGATAAAGTGCATTAGCTTACTATCTGTCTGAGGTTACGACTTGCTGAATTTGCTGGCTTTTGCTGGAAAACGGACCGAAATATTTGCGAATTTGTTCTTAACTGCATTTTCATGGGTTTCTGGCCTTCAAAATCACTGTTTTAAATTCGTTTCAAGGTATTAAGATTGAACAACCTATGCAGCTTTTTCATATAATCCTTTATGACTCTTAAATATTTTTAAAAAGTCATGAAACATTTATTATGTGCTATCTGGTGTCCATGTGGCAATAAAATCGCGCCTGTTGACGTACACTCCCCGAAGCTCATTTTTGCGAAATTCGGTCCAGATCCCATAATTTTTTCAAACTTTCTGGGCCGGCAGAAATTTTGAACAAAAACTCCGAAAATCAATAAGTAGATAGGAGCAATCGCTATTTTTTGAACAATATAACTCTAAACACACGTCTCGCATCATTCAAACGCGTAAATGAAATGAGCTATACCGTCTTGTCTAGCTATCGTTCTTTCTCCACTCTATAGCGGGCGGAGCTTTGCCGACGTTTCCCAACGTGTGCGCGTGGCAGTTTTTAGCAACTAGAGAGTAGAAAAGTAGTGCTCAAGAATGGAGGTTCAACAAGTTTTCAACATGTTCAAATTTCTGCAGGGCCACGCCCGCTATACCTTGGGATTCGCCTATATCTATTGAAACTGGATTAAAGTTGCTGAGAAGACATTTCCCTTTGAAGCCGAATCTCAATAAAAACAATAGAAACTCGCAACAAACTGCCGCGAAAGTAGCCTATGCTATCCTTCGGTCAGAACCAGCATATTGAAGTTCAAATGTTCTATCATTCGGGCGAAAAAATTTGCTGAGCAGAAATCTGAAGAATCAATAAATCAAGGGGCAACCCGTGTGTCCCGAAAAAAAAGGCTTATCACACGCCCCACCCTATACGTTAGCTGCCAAATTTGGTTCAAACTCCATAATTCTTTTTAAACGTGCGTCCAGCAAATCTGGACATGGGGTTCTGATGTGGAGAGTAATTTTGGCATCCTAAACCAATACACTGCCCAAGGGGCAGCTCAAATGGTGGACTCACAGTTGAGATATTCGCCTCCAAACTGGACCGCGGAATCGTATTCGCATGGATTCATGGCGCGACACGCGTGGATCCTTGCGCGAAACTGATGTGTCGCGCCATGAATCCATGCGAATACGATTCCGCGGTCCAGTTTGGAGGCGAAATCTTAAGTGTGAGCTCACCAGTTGAGCTGCCGCTTAAGCAGTGTTTTAGTTAGGGCTCCAAGAATACCTCCAAGTGAGATCTGCCTGGACAATGCCAATCTTTTTGGACGAACATAAAATAATTTCAAATCAAAAACTGCAAAAAATCAATAAACCAATAGCGGCAATTCATATGTCTGAACAAAACTTACTAACACATGCCCTATCCTCTTTATGTTTGCCAAATTTATAATATTTCAGTTTTAATGACTCCTTCTATCCTTTCTGGGTGAACATACAAAATTTCTAAGCATGACTGAAACAATCAATAAATCGATAGAGTCAAAGAGGGGGGTCTCAAACAAAATGGCTTATCAACACACGCCCCACCCCATAAATTATGTCTGCCAAATTTGGTTCAAATCGCGCGACTCCTCCTATCCTTTTTAGGCGAACATACATAAAGTGGCTAAGCCAAATATTATATAGTATTGATTGATTTTCCAAGCAAGAACTGCGAAAAATCAATAAATCAATAGCGGTAATTCATGTGTCTTGAACAAAATGGCTTCACACACCCTACCCCATACATTATTTTTGCCAAGTTTGGTTCAGATCTCGCCTTTCTCCTTTTATCCTTTTTGGTTGAACATACATAAAGTGGCTAAGCCAAAAATTATATAGTATTGATATTAAGAGGCATAATACGCTGATGTCAGATCTGCCTTCGTATCTGCAGAACATTTATGAACAAGACGTGAGGGTTTTTAGAACCAATGAGTGTGCATTTTGGATATCAAGTTGCTAAAATTTTACTAGCCCTCAAATAATGCAACCAAGCGTGGTGTAATTTGTATTACAAAGTATTTTGTTGAATAAAGTGCCTGATAATTATCACTGCTCCATTGGAGAGCTAGAAGAACTATAACGGCTATTTTTCCTACTTGCACACTCGATTTTTTGCTCCATTAAGTGCTCATAACTCTTTACTCATAAACGCACTGCAGGTAAAGAAAGCAGATTTGGAATTGGCATATTATGCCCTACAATATGGTGTACATCCCATTCAAAAAAGCCACTTCGACTAAACATGCATCCCTCGTAAGTTCATATGTAGATTTTCTGCCCCACCATCAAACATGAATCCATATCTTCTTTGCGAAATAATGAATCATAACCAGGGTTGAGCAAGGGGTCAGGCGCAGCCCGGCCAAAAACGACCCCCCTATGGTCGTGCTAGAATACGACCCCCCCTTCCCCCTCCCCCCCCCCCCCCTCCGTGGTGTTAATCACGTTAGTTTGTTGTCGACTTCCTGTTAAGCTCTTTTTGGAGCGCGCTAAAGAAAAAGAAATCAGCAAAAACACAATGGACAAAACAAAAACACTAAAAACTCTCGAAAAATAGTAAAAACTTCTGAAAAAGTATCTTTCTTTTGGCTGTAGATATAATGGCAATAGGACAAGGGCAAAGTTCCACATTTATTTTGCTGTAAAAGCACTTCGAAAATGAAAGTTTTTAAATGAAAAACTAGAAGAAATAAGCCTTCAAATGATGTGAGCAATGCTCGCACAATTCTTTTTTCCTTCACAATCAGCGGCTCAATGAAAGGTACAAAGAGGTCGAAATTTACAGCCCAAAACTTTGAACCAGCACTTTGACGAATGGGATGAGGCAGTGGCGCCGAGAATAGGTCGCGAAATTTTTGAAAGTTACCTAAGTGGGTTATAAAAATGTGCAAGTGACTTGTTTATTTTTGTAAATAATTAAAATAATTTTTAAAAAATTTCAAAAATTCAAATTAGCTTTGTAAAAAAATTTTTTTCGGGGGCGTGGCTGACGCCACGCCCCCCTTTTTCTAGATTTTAGGGGTCGGGGACCCGCAAAAGTTTTGAGAAGCACCCCAAAAAAATTTTCGGAGTGCGTGGCTAACGCCACGCACCTTCTTTAGAAAAAAATTTTTGTCGCGCCCCCCCCCCGAGCCGAAATCCTGGGTACGCCACTGGGATGAGGTAGACGAGGGTGGGCTGTGGCCCCATTGGCTCGATCGTGGACGAATTGCCCGCTCTCATGACACCCGTAGCAGAATTCTCTGAAATGCAAAATTAATAAATGATGATTTTCATCAGAAATCTGCTAAAATTAGCACTCAAAGATCGTGAGCGAACTACAGAATGATCACATTATATTTGCTGCAACGAAGAAAAAACTAGTGCAGCGACTATCACGACAAGCATATAAAAATTGTAAAAAAACTCTTCACAAGACTATTTTTCTACAAGGAAAATGCAAACACGTTCAGATAATAGATGTCAGGGAATCAAAAGGCAAAGATTGAGATGATGTTGCATCAAATAGAGAAAAGTGCTCAATTATGTTGGACAGCTACTAACGAATGCGGAAAATATGTAATCGCTGCCTAATGGATTATATCGAGACGCAGAAGGATGAGGAACCAAAAGGGGGACTAAGAGGAAGATGCGATAAACTCATTCCGCGTTCTTCAGCGCCTTCCCAGTGGTGTCATTTAGATAATCCAAACTCTTCCTAGTAGATTAGTAGAGACCTCTGGCTTCTGCTGGACTGAACCCTCAGTATTGAGTTTGAGGAAAAAAAGGAGTGTTAAACTCAATGAAAAATTCAAATTAGCTTCCCCGATATGTTAGTGAAATTAAAGTGGTATTTGTAGAGCAAAGAAGTAAGATAAACCGAAATTGCACAATGATTACCAATAGATATCGCGACTTTCTTTCTTGGGTTCTGTGAGCAAAATGAAAGCAGAGCGTGTGTTGCCGTGATGGAAGATTTTCATAGGAGAGACCCTGACGAGTTAGCATCAAGCCAGATCCGATTTTACCAAGAGATGGAATCTGCAAAACACTAGTCTTTACGTTGTATAGTTTCCAGCCCATTTACTTCATAAAGACAACAATGTGTGTTGAATGGTAAATTGGGAAGAATGTACTTAATGCTCCTTCAAGCAAATGAGAATGAATGTAAAACAAGAGAATCACCTAGACTGAAAATCTTACATACCGGAGAGCAGATCGCGTAGTTCAGCAGAGCTTCAGCATCCTTTTACCTCAATCTTTCCCTTCCAAGACATGTCAATTACACCGCATTTGTTCGTTACCATCTGGTACTTCCGACTGAGCTAGATAACATGCCTTCCTCTTCGATGTCGAATGCTTGGGCTACCTAATAAGAATACGTTGTGCAATTCGACATGATTGGCAACCGAAGACTGACCTCCCATCCATTGCGGAACGAAAAATGAGCTTTATCCCTCTTGAACCAACCGTAAAGGCCACTAACGCGATCCGTAGGCGTACCAGCATGACGATTAGTGTAACAATTATAATACATCGAGTAAGTCTCTTTGCTCTTTTCCAGTATAAACCTGAACAGATCTACATTCTAAAATGCAGAAGAAATCTGCTGAGATCCCAAGCCAATATTGGCTTAGTGTGAATGATTATCTTGACTTGCGTCAGTATCAAACAGCTTGAGAGGGGGTTCTCCGTCAACCATCCAATCGCAATATACCTTAAAAAAAACTCATTCGTGCATTAAGACAATGAAACAAGGAAGCCTTGGTAAACCGCCGCTACTTACACCATCAAGGAAGCCAGTAGAAACCCAGTAGTTCTTGTCAAATGGACCAACCTAAAACATCGTTGTAGCAAAACAAAAGATCAGCCGCAATATGCCTTACCAAGGGATATCCACCAGCAGTCATGCTGAAAACAGCTGCTTTGGCGTCAAATTTTGCATCCGTTAAAGAAGGTACAAGTGTGCAAGCACGCTCATAAGCCTCTCCCACTCAATCAAAGTCTGGTTTGATAGCACGCGAGCCCTCTACATTAAAAGAAAATTTGTGTGACGAACCATCTTCGCCGACGAGGATTTGCATGCAAAATTACCACTAAAACATTTGCTAAGCATAGGTTAATGTGAATCATCAAAAACAATAGTAAAACTAACCTTTTATACACTGACTTGGTAGTGATTCACAAATCAGTAAAATGTTCTTGGTTGTACTCATTTCATCTGCAACAGTAGTACCAAAATATCCAAAGCTGAGCAACCCAAAGCATCTCTAAACAGCATGATTTACTTTTACCACGTGATTTCGTGATTGACGCAGCAAATTTATAGGTGGCCAACACATCCATGTGGAGAAATATAGTGTTTTTGCATGTTAGCAACATATTCACGTGGAAAAGAAAGGTCGAAAGCCCGTAGTTGGAAGCGTACAAACCGCAATGCTAAATTTCGAAATAGCCTGCACTACTGCTACAGAAGTAAAGGAAAAGAGAAAAATGAACATGCCTACTAATATTTTATCATCGCTCTTCTAGGGAATGATTCATGTAGTAAATTAAGGAAATATTAGAATGCGAAGAAACAGAGCGATGATAAAATTTACAGGGATGATTAACATTCAATCTGGCACGCATGCTAAATATAAATTGACGGATTATATAATGTTCACACAGAGAAAAACCAATCACTTATATTTGGATGCATTATTCGAAGTTTAAGATATTCTTTGGGCACGTTGAAGTAGACATTTTCTTGTACAAAAAACGTGCCCAGCGATTCCGTAAGATCGAAGATCGCATTTTCTGCTTGCTCCATGTCATAGACACTATAGTTGAAACGAGCGAAAATTTTCGTCGAACGAATGAATTTCGAATAATCGGCTTTTGAAAAATATTCGAACGAACGAATATTATTCGACCTGTGATTTTCAGATTATTCGAACTCGAATATTCGAATAATGCTGCATTTCAAAATTCGAATGAACAAATATTCAAATAAATGGAGTTGGTCGAATATTCGACTATTCGAATAATCGAATAATTACATATGGTCGAATAATCGACTATTCGAATATTCGAATAATCATACCTCTCCGAATATTCGACTATTCGAATAACTCGAATAATCTAGCGCCACAAACAATGCTAGTTTTTTTCTTTGTTGCAGTTTTCTGCAAAAAAAAATAATAGCTATATTTGATCTAGATTTGTAGCTCTGATAATTATATGCGTAGCAAATGGTAAGGATGACTGGGTTATTGTCACTTGGTCAGGGTTTCACCTAGGAAATAAACGAATTTTACTCAAACATGTAGTTCAAGGTGTTCATCGGCTTTTGAGATGGCTACTGAGCCTTACTTAGTAATCGTTTCAATTCCGCATTTATTCTTCCTCACAGAAGTTTTTCCCAAAGCTAAACAGAACTTCCTCCCAAAGCTGAAGATTCAGCATGGAAAGCCTTTTAGAATAGGTGTAGTTGTTCGTAACTTATTCGTGATGGTCAGCATTGTGTGAGTTCTGAGACTAGCCTTGGGAGAGCACGAGGAAGGCCTACAGTAAGTACAGTACAGACAATTACAGATATTTCCATTCCTACGTAGGCCTATAGAATCAGTGAACTTCTGCAGCAGAGGTAACGCACTGTTGTCTACATAATAGTTTTGTGCGCATCCAAATCCAGAAAAAAATCCTGGAAATATCTGTAATTTAGCTGCTAATCTGGTACTTGTCGGAAATTATCAATCGCTGAGTTTCACAGTTTCTTTGGTAGGATTGAATTTTCACGAAGTTGTTTTGGTTATATCATTGAGGTTTGTACTGTTGTAAGAATCTTCCATCTCTTTTACTCAAGTTAAAAATAATTATTGTTCAACTTATACGCTTACTTGAAGTATAATTCCTCTTCGAACTTTGCAACATCCTAAAGTTTTTTTTACGATTCCTGACTATAAGGGCAGCCGATTTGAATATAGTGACGACATACAGGCTGCCGCCACAAGTCAAGCGGCTCAGGTCCTTACGACCACCTTGCTCTGGCCTTGCGATGGTTAACGGTATTTTCAGGTATTTTGACATGCGGGCGGTGATTAGGCTGGCAAGGCAAGTGGAGATCTCGAGATGAATGAGTGAATGAATGTTGCCTATACGTGCTGCCTTACGGGCCGGGCATACTTCACGCGATTTTAGTCGCGACGCGATTTGGCAATATTCCAATTGTCAATAACTCACTATAAGCACATTTTACACGTGCAGAAGACTGACGACTTCACGTGCAGACTTTACGTATAACTTAGGTGGACTGATAAGATGTTCTGACTTAACATCTTATCAGTCCACCTAAGTTATACGTACTATGCATGTGCAGTTTGCTAATGTTGGATCTGAAGACCTTTGGCGAATTGGTCGCTCGCGGCTGAAATCGCGTGAAGCATGCCCGGCCCTTTAAAGGAGCTGGCTGACCTTTACATGCTTATGCAAGCTGTTTGAGGACCGGTGGTCCGCTAAAGAGCGCCCAATGACGGCTTTGCTTCTTCACCCAATTTAGAATTTGGAAGTATTTCCGCATGATATCGCATCTCAGCTTCTCAGACTCGATTTCCAGAAGATAGTTCAGTACTCCAAATGAATTATGCATAAAACTTGCCATCACTATGCTCTGGCATGATTCGCGACTTATGCCTCAAACAGGGAAGCTTGCTAGCCGTTCTGTCATATGATTCATTTGCGTGATTGACCGATCGGGAACATACTTTTACTCAGTGTAGAACAGCTGAAGTTTTTTTTGACATCGAATGTTCGAATGAATGTTCCTAAATATTCGAATATTCGAATGACTGTTTTTCAAGTTGGCTCGAATATTCGAATATTCGAATAACTGTTTTTTAGAAATCCTCGAATAAACGAGTATTCGAATTACTCATTTTTCCAAATCATCGAATGAATGAATTACTCCAATACAGGCCTTTTTCATTTATTCGATTATTCGATTAATCGAATAATTGGACTTTCTCGAATATTCGACTATTCGAATATTCGAATAGTCGAATATCTTATATATAAAGCTGAATGTCTGTTTGTCTGTATGTCTGTATGTCTGTATGTCTGTATGTCTGTATGTACGTATGTTCCGAATAGAAATTTTTATTTTTGAACCGATCCGGACCAAACTTGGCACACATACACTTCGGGCCCCGGCGGGTGTCATAGGCTACTTTTCGTCATCGATCGATATCGATTTTATCGATTTTTATCGATTTTTTTGCTGAGTCCACCTACGGGGCTGGGAGTTTGCACAGGGGGGTAATCGAGCATGCTGATTACGAATACAATATTTGTTTTCAACATCGTCCATTACTTTTATCGATTTTATCGATTTTTTTGTAGAGTTTGACATGCGGGGCTGCGAGTTTGCGCAGGGGGGTAAATGAGCATGCTGATTACGAATACAATATTTGTTTTCAACATCGTCCATTACTTTTATCGATTTTATCGATTTTTTTGTAAAGTTTGACATGCGGGGCTGCGAGTTTGCGCAGGGGGGTAAATGAGCATGCTGATTACGAATACAATATTTGTTTTCAACATCGTCCATTACTTTTATCGATTTTATCGATTTTTTATTAAATTTGACATGCGGGGCTAGGAGTTGGCACGGTGGGGTAACTGAGCATGCTGATTACGGTAGCTGTTTGTGAGAATATCCAATACTTTGTTTTTTTAGAGCCTTGGATTAGAAAGATGTAAGTTGGTACTTAGTTAAGCTGATTCAAACGAGGTAATCTTCATTTCTCATTCTCAATCCTGCATCAAAATATTTCTCCTCTCATCTGAGACTGGATTTCGGTAAGGGATAAGCGAGTGCGCTAATTAGAAAATAGCCTCCCTAAAATAATTCGAGTGCTAATGCCGCGATCAAACGTATTGAAAGAGTACACCGATCATTTAAAATCACAGCAATTTTGATTTTTTGGCGAAGTCTGGATTTGAAGATTTTTTGGCGTACTCTGTAAAAGTTTTATTTATGAAGCACTCTTTTGAATTTCAGGTTCTAATAGACCTAGAAAAATTGTTGAATTTTTGCATGCACACATTGTATATGTGGGCAAACATACACAAATGTTTTGAGAAAAAAACCGTTTTTCCGGGCATTTTTTAAATTTATTGGAAGGAAATCATGATGGCGTGTTCGAATGAGAAGGAGAAAAAATATTTGAGTAGCACCGCTGGATTGGCCATCAAAAGTTAGCATATACGTGTTTTTGACGCAAGCTCCCAGGATGTCTCTGAAACGAGATACAAGCATTTTTGATTTTTCTGTAAAAATTCCGGTTTCACCGAGTGTTGATATATCCGTGCGTTTTCACCGAGTGAACCGCGGGTTCCGCCTTGACTGAGGTGGCCGAGTGGCTCACCTCGACGAAGGTGTTGAGCCAGTGGTTCAATTTTTGTTACAACCAGGGTTGAGCAAGAGGTCAGGCACAAGTCTTTCCAAAACGACCCCCCCCCCCAGTGAAAGCCCCTAAACGACCCCTCTGCTTCACCTCCAGGACCTCAGGCTGTGATAATTAGGTCAGCCGTTTTTGGGAGGTTCTTGTTTTTTGGAGGTCTGTAGGTCGACTTTCTGCGATTGCACAGCACACGCAACTTGACGGCAAGTTTTGGATTTTGGATAGCCCTACTTTTAAAGCTATAATTCCCACAGGGGTGTATTGTTTGGCTCCATATTTGCAGTATTGCAAGAAGAGGCTTTGAGTTCAATACTCATAGCAGAAATGGAGCGATTTTTAGATTTTGAAAACAAGTTAATCGGGTCAGGCGCAACCCCTCAAAAGCTCAGGCGGCCTGACCTTTTGTGGGGTTGCGCCTGACCCGATTAACTTTATCATTGAAGAAGCTTTTTTATTCAAGTTTTATG